CTGACCCTCTTCCCTCTTGTGCTGTCTCTCATTCTCTCTCTCAAATAAATAAATAAAATCTTTAAAAAAAAAAAAAATCAGTTCTTGGGCACCTGGGTGGCTCAGGTCATGACCCGAGGGTCCTGGAATCGAGCCCTGCATCGGGCTCCCTGCTCGGCGGGAAGCCTGCTTCTGCCTCCCCCACTCCACCTGCTTGTGTTCCCTCTCTCACTGTGTCTCTCTCTGTCAAATAAATAAATAAAATCTTTAAAAAAAAAATCAGTTCTCTAAAGGAACTATTTTTCTAGGAGGGAGGCACTCGAGTGAGAGACATACACTAAGAAGGACATGATATAAATTCTTCATGTTGGCTGGTGAAATTTTGCCTGAGCCAGTCCTGAAATTTTTAACAAAGAAACACTCTTAATGCCCTCCCCCCTTGCTTATAAAATCCACCTCCTGGAACGCAGCAACCATCTCTTGGTGATGGCCAAGCTGGGTGCACCCCCCCAGCAGAACTCACCTGCAGGAAGCTGTCCTGGCAGCAGAGGAACTCAGTCTTCTTCATGATCGACTCAGTGGTCAGGACCAGTTCATTTTTACTTAGCGCAGGCTCGCTCTGACACGGGAAGACTGCCTCGAGTATCAAAAGGAGATAGTGTGATGTGTATGGGGGCGACCAAGGGTGGGGGGCAGTTTTAAGTGAAAGAATTTACAGGAGACAAAATGACTTTTCTCAGCTCGAGCTTTTACCAACCTGTGATTATTTTTCTTTCAAAACGTATTTTACAGTCTACCTTTAGTATGAAGGTGAAAACGGGATAACCCCACTCCACCCCACACGAAGACTTGTGGAAGAGTGGGTACCGTTCCATGGGTATTGTTCCATTACAACCTTCACCCCACCCCAGATTTGTATTAAAAATATATATTGTTGTTTTAAAAAAACCCAAACATTTCAGGAGTGAAAATCCCATCCCCAAGCTCATGGGATTTCCTCAAAGTTTTAATGGCTGCATATTACCCTAATATATGGGCAAATCACTATGTATTTGATTTATACGTCACTGATGATTTGCCTTTATTATAAATGACGTTGGAAAACCACTCTTGGCACATTTAGGTCATTTCTGTAAGGCGAATTTCTCTAAGTGGAACTACTGGGTCAAAAGACACCCACATTTAAATTCAGATCAGTATTGTCAAACTACCTTCTGAAAAAGTTGTTCTAAATTATACCCCCAGTTAAAGTATGTGCTTTCGTAAAAGTTTAAAGCTTACTTCTCAACACCCATGACTTTTAACACTGGCCAGTAATACGCTTCACCAGACACAGAGAAACCCAAAGTCCTCTTCTGTGCAATCACTACCAATGCTAGACTCTGAAACCGAAAAATTACTTTCCCTTACTATTTGGGAGAATTATGCAGAGTACACAAGAAGAAACATACTAACCCAGTAGCTGGGTAGAAATAACTGAGGCATTAACTGTGTGTGAAACTCCAGAGGACACCTCCATTCCAAACACACATTCTCAGAAACACTCTAACCCCAGATATAATGCTAAATCTTACTTTGATGTTGTCCAGAACTCTTTTGAACTCTAACGGTTCATCTTTTCCCTCCATAGCTGCAGGATCTAAGCCATCTCCCCCGTAAATGAACTGGATAATATCACCCGTAGAGCTTCGGACTGTCAGGTCATACTGTGAGCACAGATCTTCAAGGGACTTGACGAGCCTCCTCTAAAGGAAGAGAAGGAGAGGAAACAAAGGCTCAGTTGCTTTGAGAGGACGAGTCACATGTGCAGAGGATGGGATCTGCAACACTAAGTTTCAAGGTTACTGTACTTTCATCAGTTAAAACATTGTATTAGACGTCTCTTTTAAAAAGAGTCCCCTGACACTCAGAACAAGCTCAAAAGTGGCCCGAGAGCCTGTGCAGGGGGATTTAGAATATGCTCCAACCTCACGCACTCTAGTGTATTTTTGAGTACATGCAATTTAAGCCCCATCACCCCCAAAGGACTCTGCAAACACTAGCTGTTTTCCTAGGCTGTTTTGCCTTCCCTATCTTTCTCCCTAAGGTACAAATTAATGCAACAGCTTTGCATTTCTAAACACAACCTAATCCAGGACCCCTGTGGGCTTCAATATGAATTACAGAGGATCAGGTGCAGGCCCTCTTCTGGGACACAGGGGGAAGAAGAGAGAACAGGGACAGCATTCTGTCTGAACCAGCAGGCAGCAGCCATTCCTCAGATCTGCTTAGGGAGAACCTTCCACCAGCAGAACACTCCAGCCAGCAATGTGACGGTGGCTCAGTGAATTAGAGAGAGCGAAATCTTCCTCCAGGCAACTTCAAAACAAAAATCCCTCATGCCAGAACAAATTTGTTCTAGGTTAACACACTGCTCTGGGAAAGTCATACTCTCTACTTCAAAAAGGTAAAGTCAAAAAAATAAAGTCAAAAGACATTCTGGCAAGAGTGGTGAAAAGCATTTCACAGTCTGTTGGGTTTCTGACAAAAGCAACACACTCCAAAACTGAAGGGCAATTTCCCATCCAAAGATAACGAAAAGGGAAGTATCGATGAGGATACACACATACAGGCGAGCTTATGGACATAGCTGGCTGCTGACTCGAGTCCGCTCCCACCCGCATCAGCCTTGTTTGTTCTGGCTCCCTCAGCCACATCCCTGCTTTATCAGTCCTGCTCTCCCAGCCTGCAGAGGGCTGTGCTTCTCAAACTGGGGTCCGCAGCGGGGAGAGAGGGGACACAAAGCCACAGTGAGGGCAGGGCCCAGCAACTGGGAGATTTAACTTTATCTGGTGTTATAAGGAGACAAAAACATTGAAAAAAATGTAAAAACAAACACAGATCATAGAGGACAGGGTAGAAAATGATAATTGGAGAATGAAAAGAAATCCTTTGCTTGTGGTCTTATGGAAGAACAAAGTCGGGATGTGTTCTCGCTCCTCTGCCATTCGGGGTATTTTTACGGCGGTTGGAGAAGCATAGGTATTGGGAAACCCTCTAGTTTCCTTCTGGCCCCCTGAGCCCATCATCCTGGAACTGTGCAAACAATGGAGAAAGAGCCATCCCGCCAAGTGGCCAAGCCCTCTGCCGGCACTGGAGTAAATTCTTGGCGTCAGTTAAAACTATCCTAATAACGGGTTACACAAATAGTTGCCACATGAGAAGGAGAGTCCTCTCAGCGATTGGGAGGTACTATCATCCCCATCTTCATGTATTAGGACACAGAAGCCCAGTGAGGTCCATGATGTGTCCCCGGATGCACTTCCAGTCCATGTTCTCAGCAGAGCTTTGGTGTGTGTGGTTCTAGCCTGATCTGAGTCCCTCGAGGCACATGGGATGAAGTGAACACATTACCTTTTTAGTCTGTTTGTTTCTATGGCACCTGCATTTCTCAATTTTTCCTTTTAAATACTAAGACCCGATATATCACAGCTCATGTACAAAATACGTAAACACTCAGCAGTCAAAATCCTCAGAATCCTGTCCTGCTCAGCCGCAAATGGCCTACATTTCTTTGAATTACCTGCATGTACCCTGTTTCAGCAGTCTTTACGGCTGTGTCGACGAGACCTTCCCGGCCAGCCATTGTGTGGAAGAAAAACTCGGTCGGTGTCAAACCGGAATAAAAGCTATTAGCCACAAAGCCTTTGGCAGCTGGGAGCTGAAGAGAGGTGGGGGAAAAAAGAAGAATCAAACAAAAAGATCTTCAAGGTCCACAACTTCAAAACCCATTCAAATCACAAAATGCCCCACCTTTAGACTATAAATACCTGGTCAGTGCATGCTCATGAAGGGGCAGACTTTACGAGCTCTTTCGTTTTTTTTTTTTTTT